AAATCCCATCAGGAGCACCACCACTAGTATGCCCTTGAGTAAGGCGCTTACAGTAGCCCTTAATTACTCCAGGGAGACTGTCCTGTATTTCGTAATTGTAAGTTGCTTTGGATAAAAAGCGTCAGTTAAATGAAATGTAATTTCTTAAAGAGAAACAACCACGACTGGGCTAAGGTAGATAACAGAGACCATGAGCGCTTAGCTTGGCCATACCACTAGGAGCAATAATAATACATTGGATTTTTATAGTGCTTTTCCTAGATGCAATGACATGGCCTAAAAGGAGAGCTTTGTGGAAGGAATATCAACCCCTCAACAAATGAATGCCTTAAATGAACTGTATCTGACTGCTTCTAGGTGCTCTGTAAATCTTAAAGTATCTTGATAAAAACAGCAAGCTGCATATTATGCATAGCTTACTTACATTTGCAAAGTTCACAACACCCAGCTGACTGAGCCAAGACATCCAATAAGTACATGTAAGCCCCTCAAAAGCACTACATGGTTAGTTTGGTGAACTAGCAGCAAACTCTGGAACTTTAAATTGATAATGTTAATATATACGGTAAATAAAAGCATTTGTCAAATAGACACTCACAAAGAAAAATAATGACTTATACTCGTCTCTCGTTGTGCGCATTTTGTGGGCATCCATTCATGTTAAATTGGTCATTGCTCGAAGTCACAAAATGCGCTCTTCAGCAGTGATTGTGGAGCGCACACATGATTATGTCCTTCATGAATCTGTTCAGAAGTGGCATGATCAGGATGTTGGAAGGCATTAGCAGCTACAGTAGGTGGTGAAAAGTGTTGAGAGCAAGACAGAGGAATGCGTTGCATGTTCATGTTAGACCGCGGCATACTGTCAGGTGTGCGCATCTTTGGAATCGTATGTCTATAGTTTACAGGCTTGCCATTAAGCAGATGATTCTTTTTTGTATTAGTTATGATTTTAATATTACAATGTTTGCTAAAGAGGCAATTCATTACTGCCAAAACACAACACCTCTATTCAATATATTTTACATTTACCTTGTGTTTTCACACATAACTTGAACCCATGTTCATCATACAAAGGGTTTGCACATGAAAGTGGCGTAATTATTAAGTACTGTAAATTATCTGATAATAATTTTTCTCTGAGCTCAATCTAGCTAAGTGTTGTAAGTAGCAAGTATGAAAAAGGAATTTATCAGAAATACATTCACAGCTGAGAGGTCGCATTAAAGGTAGGGTAGGTAATTCACTTCAGAAACACTTGTTGTTATGTTCCATGGCATGCTCTTAACATCCCGATAGCAATGAATATCTAAAGTGCTTTGACAATAAATACATGAAAAATGTCATCTGTGGAAGCCGTAGCACTGTAAAAAGCACGACCAATCATTTTAGCCGGCCCGGCTAAAATAACTGGATGGCCGACCTGCCTGTCAGACTTCCATCTGTGCACAAACTTATCTCGTGCCCTCATTGGTCATGTGTGAGTTCGTATGTGTTGGAGGAGGGGCTCTGTAAGGAAGTCTGAAGGAAGAGGCAGATTTTTTCCGGTTGTGTACTTTCAAATTCTAGCGCACTCAAGCTGGTTTCTCCATTTTTACCTACCCTACCTTTAAGGCACAGAGGGCTACAGCGCTTACTAAAAGAGTCTTTATTCTCCAATCAAAGCTCATTCTCTGTCTATACAGCATGTGGCATTCATACAACGCAAAAATAAATCTGTGAAACAGAAAGCATCAAGGCAAAACATCCTATTCAACCAGCCTTGTTTCATCAATGTGACCTTCACTTTCACAAAGCAGATTCAAACATTAGAGCACAAATGGACGATGTACTGATTCAGCTGCATTCTAGCTGCAGACCATTGCAGCTAAAGTCCAACAATCAACAAATCATGCAATTATAATGACAGGAATATTATTTATATAAGATATTTAACTGTATGGAGCATTTTGTCCCCCAAAAAATAATGAGTTAACTGAAAAAGTGAAAAAGAGGAATGGTGAAATGCTTTTCCCCTGTGTCCCATTCCAGCTCGTCACCCAAAAATAGACCGCTCTCACACACACACACCTCCAACCACACACACCATATGCTAGAGGGTCCTCTGAAGTGGACAGGAAGGATGTTTCTCCATAGAATAGGGCCAGTGTGAAGAGAGCGGAGGCCCCAGGCGTTATTAAAATGAAAAATAACTATCTGCCTGGCACAGTGGCTGGCAGACAGTTCTGTTGCATTACTGTATATGGAAATATACAACTTGATATCCCAGCATTTGGTGGTAAACTCATGTGGGACTTTTGATGAAATTCAAATCTCCTGTAATTATAGATCCCATTTGTGTGCTCTGCATTGACATCTCTCTGAAGCAGTCTCTCAGGACATCTTTATTAAAATATGGGCTACAAATAGCCGTATTTTCAAATCAATCTGCGAAGATCCCTTCATCAGCATTTGGATGTTTGCTGGTAGTTTTAAATGAATAAAAAAAAAAGCTGTAAAATATTTTTATTTTTTATTTTATTAAAATAGATTCTAATGGAGTCAACAAATTTCTTGCACACCAGGGAGTTTAACAGACAATTTATTCTAATACAAATATTTGGACATTAGATTTAGAAATAGATTGGATGCGTCAGTTTGACTTAATTAAAATAGAGATTTGACATTCCACATTCAATCTGTCATTAATCAATTTACTTGTGCCTTCAGAATACTTTTTCTGCGCCCATTCTTTGCCCACTTCTAAAAACTGGTTTTAATGGATCATTTATATACCCAATTGACATCGTTAATGAACTTTTCTACTTCTGAAAAGCTTCCCTTTTAATGTAAAATGTACAATGATAAAAGCGAAGGAAGTACACATTAATGCAGGCCTACTTAGCTCACATAATTGACCAAGTAAGACAGAAGTTATGACGTTATGTTCTGCGTGTGTAAACAGCACATTTCACTTTGAATGTTACAAGACAAAAGGTGTGTATCGGGGTGTGGAGGGTGAACGTAACATAATCTAATAAAGAGCGGAACAGGTCGTATTACAGCCCAATGCACACCGCTTCAACAACTTAGAGAAATCAAAGTTGACAGGCCTGCTGTGCCAATTACAGTTGCCAAGCTGTGATTAGACAATTGCTGTATTGGGGTTTTAGGGTTTATTGAAAACACGCCTAAAGTAGAATGAGTAAAAATCTAGTGGAATATAGTTCTTAATTTATTCTATTCCCATGTGAACACTCAAATATGAGGGAACTAAGAGATCCAAAATGATTGTTCTTGGTGAGTGACACATTAATTATTCATCTACATTTTTTTTTTTTTTTGCATACAATCTTAAGGCCTACCACATTAACAGCACTCTTACAATTTACTTCACTCCCACACACTCTGTTCAGCATTGTGGCCATTTTTGCTCATTATTTTCATGGTGGCAGTTTCTCTTACTCGCTGTCTCCCTCTCTATCTCTCCCCCTATCTTACTTGCTCACTCAGCCATGTGATGAGAGGATGAGTCGCGACGCACTGTAAATTCCATCTCTGTCAAGCCGGTCACTTCTGGCCGGGGCTCGAGGGGAAACATCTGCTGGTGGGAGCGAGGCCACACTTTGGCTAAAGAGGAGCTCACAGCAGGCGATAACGGAAAGAGGTGGATATCCATTAGGAATGAGAATAATATCTCTCATGCTGCACCCTAACAGAGACTAAATGAAGAGCTTGGCAGCAGTTGCGAATAGAGCTGTGAAGTGCACCAGTTTTATTTTTAAAACCCTGTCAAGAAGTTGAGTTTCCTTGTATAAAACAACATGCTTATTGAACAAGAGTAGAGGTTACACTATCTTTCCACCCACACTTTGGACAGGTGTAATTTTCCATAAATGGCCAATTTGATCGAGTCAACAATGGGGACCCGTCCACCCTCAGGATAAAAGAGGTCATGGGCAATAGCGAGCTCCAATTTCATTGGCGAGAGTTATTACAGCGCATTACTACAGGGGCCATATAGACCTTGTTAGTGGGCACTTAACCATCTGTACACAAATCTCCACTTGAACACACTGGAATATTTTTCACACAGCCATGCTCATCTCCTTACTGACCTCTACAACAAAGTGTCCTTTCAAGCCCATTCAGGCATACAGGCAGCATTCATAAAACACGTCCCCTCTTTAAACGGTGACCTCATGAGAGAGGTGTGCTGTCACAAAATATTCAGCGCTACGGATAAAATCTGACTACGGAATATCAAACGCTCCCATCTGTCCACTTCTTCCTCTCTGCCCACAAACCCCCCCTTCTTTTGTTACTTGACACCGCCATGTTTTAATGTCAAGGAAAGGGCATGTCTTGCAAGGCAAATGATTTGGTCTGACTGGAGACACCAGAAAATGAACAGGTCACCCAGGAGGCCCACTGGCAGATGGGTGGTAAACCTTATCCTTGAAATGTGAGCAGAATGCAACAGTGCCACTGTGTATTCATGCGACTGAAACAGGACTGGAGCGCACTGGAGATGTGTGAATAATTTTTATGAACTACAGCATGCTGCTTACTAATGTTTCCAGTAAGAGAATGCTGTATGTGCAGTAGCAGTGCTAATGCTATTAGAATAACAAGCATATTTTCCCACATTTAGCATGGACTCTCTCCCCATTACATATGGTGGTGGACTGAGACCTCATCTGCATTCAATTATATGAGCCACCGGAATCAATCAAATCCGGGAAGAAGAACAATGTAGATGGATGATGAGCTCTACCTTGTTTGGTAATTTCCGCTGTGTCTCAATATAAAAGGTCCATAATAACTGTAAAATACCAAGTGTTGGACAGTCTAACAATGGGTCAAAATGGCTCTTAAGAAATTCCATTATGAAATAATTTCCATTTTAAGACAGACTCATAACATAGCTACAGTATCTGTGTGCTGTCCCAATAGCAGTGACTTTCCAAAATGTGTACTGTACTGTGGACATACTGTATAAGCACCGGTGCACACCTCACCTGATTTTTCAGATCCAGCTTGGGGCATGGGCGTCCCCCGTTGAAAGCTTTCTCCCTGAGCCACTTGGACCTGATCTTCAGCCCGCTGCCACAGGAAGCACTGCAGGAGGACCAGGCTGACCAATCGCTGAGCTTACAGTCCAGGGGGCAAGGGATGTGGCAAACCTCCACCATGTAGCCTGAAATTGAACATTGGAAGGGGAATCCTGATTCAGACTTGCTTAGCGGCTGCAGTGAGGATCAAATTAATAATGTCAGACAGACATGCCACTGGCTTGCACCCCTCCAGACCTTGGACTTGCTCTCTCTGACACCAGGAGATAATTATCTGACTAATGATTACGCATACAGTGTTCCAACACAGTATAGTGAGACTGCTTAAGGGTTTGCACACTGTATAAATAATGTGTTTTGTTTGTCTCCTGTAGGGCAGCAACTAACAATTGTTTTCATCATCAATTTATCTGCCTATTATGCCTCTGGTGGTTGATTAATGGTTTACTCCATATTTGAAGGTGATGTCTGTAAATGCCTTGTTTTTCATTGTAATACAAATATATGCAGTTCAATACGATAATGAATCAGAAAGTCAATATTTAAGGGACTGAAAACAGCATTTCCTGCCAATATTACATCGAAGATTACCTAAACAATGAATCTAAATAATTGACAATATTTTTTGTCAAATGATCCATCGATTATTAAAGTAAACAAGTAGCTGTAGTTTCTGGACAACTTAGAAAAAAGAGGACAAAGGTGCTAAAACTAAACAAAACATAAAAACATTTCAATTAAAACCATAAAATAAAATGGTATTATCTCATAATTGGGCTTTAACAAAATCACAATGTCTGATTATTCTGACCATTTATTTAAAAATAAAAAAAATAGGGCTGTGACTCACAGCTGACTTGTTAGATCAAAATTAAATAACCAGAGCCACCCAACAAGAAATCCTTATCCAGAACACAATGTGAGGCCCAATTATAGTTAAAAAATAGTAAAATACCAAGTAACTGCAGCATACTCCTGTGCTTCCTACCTGAGTCTGTGCAGAGTGAGGGGTTAACCAGGTGTCCCTGCTGGTTGATGCAGGCCACAGCTCTGTAGCGCAGCCCGTGGCCGCACTCCTTCACCTCTCTCTGGCTCATCCAGCCCTGCAGGGAGCCCGGGGCCGAGGGGCCAGGGAGGATGCATGCGGACCAGTTACCAAAAGGCTGCGACAAAAACTCATCACAGGGACACGTCTCGCTGTCCTCGAGCGGGTACAAGTCCTTATCCAGACAATGTTCCTTCTTTTTACTACGACCTAAAGGAGAAGATGGACAAAACAATACAGAGTTACTGGTCACTGGCTGGGTGACGAATGTATATGAATAGTGCTTGGTACTCAAAGAATGTAAGCGCTACTGAATGCTTTAATACATTTATTTAAAGTGGACCTATCATGCTATATTTGAATAATATAGTGTAGGACCATACCTATATAAGGCATATTTATAGTTTTTATTTTTAAAAATACCAACCAGATCATGCATTTTAGCCATTCCTCATTTCGCTCAATTTAACACTGTCTTTGCATGGGCTGATTCTGTGAGCACAGCACCATCTACAGGCCTGGCATATGTACTACAGCGTCTCCAGCGCTTTCCAACGGCAATGTCCGTGGCTGTCTCCTCCTGCTTGGTGGAGTTGGCCCAATAGCCGTAGCGCCACTTCTGTGACGTCATAGAAGTGTTCAAATCTGGATCAGTCCGTATCAGATCCGTTGCAGCCCCTTTTTAAGAGATTTGGGTATGGAGGAAAATAGAGAGGGTTGTGTTTTCCCTGGAACACCGGGGACACATATTCATGTATAAAAGACCTACAAAAGTGCATTTTGCATGATACACTCAAAAAAATGATTTGTTAAACCATAATGATTTAATTACGTGACAAAATTCCACGCAATTACATTATGTTACTCTAATTTAAGTGAAATATGTACATAATACATGATTCACTGTTGTTAACCCAACACACGTTTATCTCATTCATCCAATGTAAAATTAATACTTCAGGTTGACATAATTTACTTTAGTTAACCCAACACATGTTTATCTCATTCATCCAATGTAAAATTAATACTTCAGGTTGATATATTTTACTTTAGCTTAACTAACATGTGTTTACGATGTTGGTTCTATTTAATCCAATTGCATGGAATTTTGTCACATAATTATAATATGCTGATAACACTAAATGTAGTCTAACAGAACCATTAAGTCACAGAAACACAATTGTGCTAATAAAAACCTTTATTAGAACAAAGTGAGAAGTTAACATTTTCTTTCTAACATTGACTGATTAAAACACATTATAAAAAAGAACCTCACAAATGGTATCAAAAATGTACATCAAATGGTATCAAAAATGTACTTCAATGTACTTCAAATGGTATCAAAAATGTACTTCAA